AAATAAAATCAAAATGGTTCCCAGAAAAGAATTTTTTTTCAACTTTGTCCAAAATATGGATTTATTTAAGGGACAGGTTCAGAGTTAACGCCTGTGATGACTCAGAGGGTTCTTTGTTTGAAACTTGAACAAACTCTGCACCTACATCTTTTTAAAGTCTTCCCTGTAGAGGGAGTGACACCATTATGCTGCCTGTGTTTATCATGGGCGTACACAGAACAGGTATTACTGCTTGATGTGGTCAGATTTGCATTTTAAGAACCAGTGATGCCTACTGTAAAAACATAGTGAGTGCTCAACCCTGAGGGATAAATTCTGAGGCTTTAGACAACAATGGGAGCAGGCCAACAGTTTTGCATGGCCTGGACTTTCCAGGTGAGCCAGGTTTGGCCGCTTTTCATGTTAAGTAATTTAAAGTTATTTTCCTGGATTAAGAACCATGTTTACCACATGTTAAGTTGTTTACCATGGGTTTTTCCTAAGCAAGCAAAGGGGGGCCTTATATATTTTTTCTCTTTTTGTTTTTGGAAGACAAAAGACAGAAGATTAACTGGCCAACCGAAAAGTAAAACAAAAAATAAGGGTCACTTAGAAAAGTTGAGACAAAGAGTGAGGGGGATGCACGTTGTGGATGGTGTTGGGAAGAAAGTATGTGAGATGGGGGAAGACAGACGAACTAGAAACAGCTACGGGAAAGCATTGTCTTTGTAATAATTGTCGTTATTTTATTTATTAAGAGAATTAAGAAAATGAAAGGAGACCTATTCATTTTTACTTTTGGGCTCTGATAAAGTAAAGTTCAATGTAATCTTTATTTACATAACATGGTATTGGTGGAGCGTGGGTGTCGAACATAAGGTCCGGGGTCCAGAGTTGGTGTGGGGTTAGAATTGGCCAGGCAAAGACTTGAATCTGGTGCATTGGACACTTTGGAAAATGTGAAGGAGGGCATAAAGTTTTGGACTTTTTAACATATTTTAGTTACATTTTTCAGCATTTTCTCCTTACAGAGACATGATCATTCATATTGCACCACAGTAATTAAGCAAGATAAACAATCAAATAACAGAAAAGTTCCCGTTTTTTCACTGTTGACTATAGACAATTTTTTCACAATGGGTCTCCAACTAACAACATTTTCTGTGAATTAATGGAAACTTTCTGTTTTATAGTTACGGGACAATCTGCGCAATGAGCTACTGTAATTTTTTCTGTAATTTTTCACATCTCTTAAAAACGTCATATTGAAAATTTCTTATATTATGTGGAAAATCTAGGACATGCTGTTGGAGTTGCACTTCCTTTTCTTATATTAAGCTGTCTCAAAGTACAGTGGGGCAAAAAAGTATTTAGTCAGCCACCGATTGTGCAAGTTCCCCCACTTAAAATGATGACAGAGGTCAGTAATTTGCACCAGAGGT